TTCATCTTTTGTCTGATACAGAAGCGAAGTGAATTATTTCCAAATAAAATCAGCAAAAAAATTAAATTCGGTTGTTACGTAATATTGACTTTACTAGCCAACTTCAGATCAATAGATGTACAGAAAAATACTACGCCTCCAGAGAGGGATGTTTGGAAGTAGAAAAAAAGAGATTAGCACAAACGACTTACTTACAAATCGATTTCTCCGCAATTAAGCTTTACGAAAGAGAACCTACATATAAATTAATTAAAGACAATCGAATACCGAGACAAGTAACACATAGGAATCAACTTAAGCATAGTGTTTACATGAACAGACAACTCGAACTATGCAGATGTAAGAACAAAAAGGAAACTCTGGAAGAAAAGCAACCGTAACTATGCAAATATTGTCGGAATTGCAAATACGAAAGACGCAGCAATAAATGCAGTCACATAATTAAATAATAGCCGTGCAAGCACGACATTACATTGTTTATCAAAAGTAGGGCCAAACTGTGCGGACAGGAAAACATTTCAGCTAAGGCGAAGGAGAAAATCTACAAAAACACACCAAAGTTAGCACAAAGCAAGCAATGTGATAATGAATTCTTAAAAATCTGCTTTAATCCAGATAAAACCATTTAAGTAATGAAACACACTTTACCTGATATAGCAATCTATACTGACAAGTTTGTCATACGCCTTAAATATGTCAATACGAGGCGACTCAAAATGACTGTGGCGTTAAAACTGTAAATGTCATACTTTTAGATTGATCAGAATCATGTGAAAGTATACAATATTCAATTTTTTAAGTGTAGCCCTAATTAGGATTTTAAAGAGTCACATTCACGTTGGGTTGACATTTTACCAGAAATTGAATCCAAGCTTGTTTGGAGGCCTGGCTACTAAACAACATCAACGCAGCTCCCAAACATTCCTAAAAGTCATTTCAGTAGTAATGTATCTATTTATGTGGGTAAAGCATCTTACCAATGTACTGATATCTCCCTACATAAGTTCATTTCCGAGAGGAATGTTGATGCTATTAATGGTATGATCAAGCCATTGGAGGAGTACCATTAATTTTAGTCACGCATGATTAGATATTCACATTCTCTGTCTACAGTGTAATGTTTCTGACCAGCAGCCATCAACCAGCTTTTGGGCGTTGATGCTTTATGACCATTTTATGTGTCAATAAGGTTTAAGGATCTTGAATAGAAAATCTCATGAATGATTTAAATATTCTGCGTGTAGTGTAGTCTTGTATGAAGAAGAGAAAAGGACACATATTTTTTCATCATGTAGACGACGTATTAAAATGTCCTATTGCCATATAAGATTTCATTTGTATATAATAGATGAAAACATTTCTTTTGAAAGACATCATAGATATGTAACATTTAGGTGATAAAAATATATAATGCAGCTGGATAATTTCAAGCCTGAGTGAGCCTCATCATTAATTTATACTTTACGATCGATTAAAATGACAAACGATATAACTCTTTGAAAGCCAGCATCAGTAATATTTCCTTAAACTTTGGCGGAGTATCAATATGATTTCATGAATGTCTGATATATTTTATCATGAAATACCTTCCAATTTGTTTCCCAGCTGAGTGTTTGACAAGTAGGGATTGATAAAACTATATTTCAAATAGTGTATGGTAAGCTCGTGAATGACTCACTGCATTTCATAAATGATTCTAATAGAATGAGTATGTATAAACTTTAGGTGAGAAACAAAACAAAATCTATTACAGCAATATACATATAATGGTAATATGGTAAAATTACGTGTCATGTATTTTTCACTAATGATTTTTATGTTGATGATCTCTAATGATGATTTACATGTCATGAACCCCTCACGTTGATCAACTGACCTTTTATTTTGATGTGTAACCTATCATGGGAAGGTCTGTAAATGTATTGCATAAAGAGATTTTCTCATCTTGATTGATATAAGCCACATAGTAATGTTCAACACACCATGAACCTCTCAAAGAATTGTCCTAGAAAACATGAACCAGACGGGGATCTCACTAAATGATGAAAAGCCTCATGAATCATGATTTACACACCATTACGGACGGTTCAATCCGACCTGAGACACATCGAAACGCCCACAGTCACTAGCGTTCAGTACATCATTAACGTCTAACCGTAATGAACATTACAAGATGAGCCTTTCAATGGGGAGTTGTACAATATATCACGTGACATTCATACATGTATACATTGGTATCATATCAAGTTCACTCTACCAGTCCCTCAACCCAGTGAAAATAAACAATTCTGTTGTTTAATAACTCTCTTGGCCAAAGAGCCCTAGATAAGGTGTTAGTCCAGTGTTAATATCCAGTAACCTGTGCACATTTATCAACGACAAAGGTATCAAGTTGCCGACGGAAACATACATATCATGAGGTTGTCTGGCACTCTAACCCCATGACATACGTATTTTTTTTCATTATACGATACATACATCTTCGATCGCACCGCTATTTATATGTTCGGTTTGTTTTCGCAGCCATTCGATTTTACAGCAGTCAGCTACAAACTAGGATACAGACAGTATTGGTACCAGGCAAATCAAGGAAGCTTTTTCTGATTAATTAAGATAGAGTCTATTCTATTTGATGTGTCGGTCATGTATATTACATGGAATTAATTCATTCAAAGATGAATTGTACATGCGAGGAGTATTCCCTTGAGATAGTCATACCTAGCTTATCACCACGATATCAACCTGAGCTAGAGGTGTATATATTTCTATCTTCGAGTGAACTAAGTGAAATAATGAAACCTGCCTTTTTCAACGAAACAAATCTTTTACGGCCTTAAATGGGTTTCTGTTGTCAATTAGGCACACTAATCATCGCCAGTTCAACACATAATTTTTAGAAATGCAAACATTACAAAAGGAAAACATATTCTGTCGAACTCCATACTGGATTGGAACAAGCAATGTAAGAGCCAATTGTGTAAAATGCAGCATGAATTTGTTGTTACCCTCTAAACTTGTTCAGGAAACATCATCATTTCTCTCTTAAAATCAATTAGTGTCTGAAAAAGAATAACTAGTACCTTTTCAATGGTAAAAAAACGATTCAAATACTCATTAGATGACAACTTTTATGTGGCACTGACAGGGTACATCTTATAATTTTTAACGTTCAAATAAGGTTCCACATTTCAAAACAAATTACAAGAAGTACAAACAATTCAATGGCAAAACAACTTCATAGTTTCCGACAAGGAATAAAAATAAATTTCTCTTCCTGTGCAAGTTGTCACGTGTCATGACCAGGAAAACGAAATTGGATGTAGTGATCAATTGCTTCTGAAACGTTTCGACAAGGTATATGGGGGAAGTCCGGAACAACCAGACTCTTCTGAAGGAACAACTACCAAACGAGACCAAATTTGAACGTTAGTGTTGAGAAATGAGATTCAACGTATTTCGTGAAAGCAATCTGGGTTCAAATGCTGAGACATATAATGAATTCGAAAGTTGAAACCAAGGAACTTTTCAAATTAAATTATAGAGTGCGGAAGGAAAGAGGACATGCTATCAATTAAGGACACATTAATTTGACCAAGTGTCGGCATGAACTTAAAATCGATAGGGAGCTCACACATACAAGATCGAAATTGAATGAGTTCCCAAAGAAAAGCCATTTTTTTTCTCTTACACAAAGTCTGTACATGTTCAAAAACTGTCAGAATGCTAAAGAAAAGGATACAATTTCCTTTAAACGGAAATTGGTTGAATATTTCTGAATATATTCTGAGAAATTATACGTGTGAGAGAAACTATTTGCTGGATACACCCTGTTGCTGTCTTGCATTCGTAGAATTTCACCAAGGCCATTATGTAGTACCCAAATATCTTTTTACATTGGCAGACTCAATCACATATAGATTTCATGTGCGACACTGCGATGAACAGTATGCTTCACAATACGAAATCTAAATGATATTATGCCTCACTCGCTTTAGTGAAGTTATCGTTGTGCTATGTCTGATTAAATGTGTTCCTTCTCCGGTATATATGACTTCATTGATCCTAAGATATTCCAATATTTCATAATCTGATTAAATTACTGAAACCGTTATAGTTCTGCATTAAAACAAGAAAGGTGTAATATATCACCAATACAGGTTTTAAAACCAATTCGTTCTACATTTTATATAAAAAAGGATTATAAAACTGCATTCTGCTGTTTGTTGTACGTTTATTGCGTTGAGCAGGGGCATTTGGTAGTTCAGGGCACATGTTAAATCTCTTTTATAAGATACAACGGCGCGTCATTGCTCGATGAGGAAGTCGATAGTGTATACAAAATGAATGATTATCTTAAAGCTTTAAAAATATTTTACGTCACGGGTTGAAGTAAAGCAACTCGTTCTTGATTCTTGTTCCCACCCGTGATGAATGGAATTAACCGGTCACAATGTCAAAAATCAAATTACTCCTATCTCCCAGTGGTGAACTAATAAAGATGTGGTGTTTCTTTCTACAGTAAAGGGATTAGGGATGTGAATTTTATGTGCATGAACGGGCATGCATTACACTTGACTGTAAGTTTGGAGCAAACCAACCATTTAAATTTTGTATAATAATAGTATGCATGTGGTTATTCTTGCAGCGTAATCTCATAATCACTGTGCTATTGTCATATTGTTGACGGTATAGAAGAAGTAAAATAATTATATTGACCGCTGTAACGCTTATCAGATAATACAATCATCGACACACCCTCAGTGATACGTTTCTTGGGTGTGCAGTATGTCCTATATGTAATACATGTCTGAAAAATGAAAATTTTGCATTTACATACTTATACATAAGAAAGCCCATACGAACAAAACGCTCCACCGAAATATTTAAGAACAACCTCTTATTGTTTCAAGTATCTTAACAGCGAACAACCACACATAGTTGTTGATTCCAGGATATTATGCTGTAATGATAAGAAGGAAACTTGTAGCATTTTCACTTACCTTGAAGCGTGTATATTTTACACTCCCATCTCCAGTCGACGATACCGACGAAACACAACCTTTGAAACCACTTTACATCCTCTTAATGTATACCATCCAGATTAGAAATAAAAGCTATGTGTTTGCAAGTTGTGTAATATAGAAGCTAAGACGGGATCTGACTCTCCATAACCGCGTCTAGACCGAAGACTGTCGGCTCTACGCTGGCTAGCAAATATTAACACAGTTCTTCAGCATCGCTGCTATATTTCCAATGGGGACACAGATTAATTAAATGAAACCGCTAATGAAACAGTACCAAAACCCATCCTAGTGTAAAAGAGATTGCTACGTATGATTCAAGCTTTGCGAGTAAGCGGACGATCAGTAGAGTGCACACGAGCGTTTGTCTCACATAGAATTATAACCGATCATCACTTAAGTGGTAAAGGGTGGGAAGAGGCTGTCACTTCTCATACTTTGTGGGCGGGGATTAACTGTCAATCAATTCACTGGTATCGGTGTAAAATCAGCGCTTGGGAAATATTTACTCTTTAATGCGTTCATGACAAGTAAACATTAGAATTGATTTTTCGGCAGATTTTGATGTAGTATAAACCCTCTGTGTAGTCTTTATAAACAGGCCTTTTCCTTGTGTCATTTTCTGTCATTATTACCTGTTGTGATCATTATGGTATTGGTTCAGTTCACAGCACGGTCATCTTGTTGGGATTCCGTTCCTACGTTATAGAATGATCTCTATGTTTTTACTCTCACTTCATTCCTCCAATGACCTATGAAGGCAGGAGACGGGGAAAGAATATCGCTGCTATGACTCTCCCCGTGTCGTAAGAGGCGACCAACTGTGGGGCACTCCTTGCATAGTTGGGATGGTTTCTGCCATGTTATTTGTTTCGGTGACATCATCAGAGAGATCACGAAAGGGATCTTCTGTATTCTATCGCACGAACTTAAAACGCTACTGCTAGTGGGCCACATGCAGAATGTGGGCTTACCTTTAATGTCTTTTACCAGGAGTACATTGAAGTGACCAAAATTGACTTGCTATCCGAAAAACTAGGGAACTCGATATTTCCAGGTCTTTCCTGTCTGTTTTGTTTCCCGCTCTTGGTGTCCCGCTTGACACACGCCCACACATGGCTCTTGGGAGGATATTAAACTAACAATAAAAAAAACAACAAAAACACTGATCTATTATCAAGGAGAGGCATATAAAGGGAATGATTCAGTTGTTATGTCGCACATTATATTGAATCTTTCTTTAAATGTTTCCCATGTCCAATAACACTGTCAAAGCAATAACCTTATCATGCAACTACTCCACACGTAATTTATCAGATTATTCCATAACCACGATTTCCGTGTATTAAATCGTTAGACAAACAAAAAAAGAGATTCGTGAAGACTATTTGGGAAAGTCTCAAGGTTACCATTACAATCTCATCAAGACATATCTTGATTTCTCTTATTGTTTTATTCCATGTGATTGTAATCTAATTACTCCGTTACGCAATTTGTGAACGTGGCATTATTTAGATCTTATTTAGATTTCCTTTGTAGCATCCAGACATTTTTCAAAAGTTTATTTGAGATCATACTTTGTTCATTGCCCACATTTGTTTCTTCATAAGCTTTCGAACACATTGGTTATGCTGACATCTTGATATCCATTTACGCTATGGTTTATTAATTGTTTTCAATAATGCTGTATATACCAAAGATATGCTAAATATAGGTCTGTTCGATAAAATTAATAATAAAATTCACTATAACACGATAAGAAAATGCTTCTGCGTTCCGTTAAGATATATGATAAACAATATAAATTTTATGTCAAATCTTCTTCTATTATCTATCCAAGATCTTGTTTAGTAGGAAACTTGACTATTCTATAAATAACCATAATTAGAATTAGAGATTTCCATAGTAAAACGAATCAGTGCATGCGGTAGAAGTATCTCCCAACTATATAGAACGTCGAGTGCATAGTCAGTGTAATCGCTACCAACGTTTACGCACTGAGTCCTTGGTAAACCTTATCTTCAACGACTCTGTGTGTTTATCGAGTACTGAAATTCAATTTAGTGCAAACATCTGCCGAAGGCTCGTCGGACGATTGAGTTGTGGAAAGAGATTAAAACGGTGATATGTTGTCCCGTTTCTGAACAAATGACATCACAATACTACTGTAATTATGAAATGTAGAGACCTCGAAAGTCTAACAGACTGGATATAGCGTAATTAAATTTGTGTGGGTAGTACTTCACCAGTTAAACCGTAGTAATGGCAAGTGATTTGTAGATAGAAAGGATTTAATTGGCCAGCACAAATGCATAATTATTCTCGTTAAAATACCGAAGTAGTTTTCATTAACCTCTTAAATCTTCTGTTATCTTTAAGACCTGAAATAAGTTGTAAAATAGCTTCTCATTATATATAATTTGTCTTTCTTTAATCTTTCAAGTTTTTTATGCTTTAGGAAGGTCGTAAACTACAGTACAATACATGAACTGACGTATAAATAACACGTTGTTTATTTTTCTAAATCGACATTTTTGTGTGTTATTTGAGAAGGCAGAACAAACTTGACTGCTGAATAGTGAAAGTTTTTTATTTCTTAAACCTCGTGCTCGGCTCATAAACGTGACACTTTTAACGATGATATAACTATTTTTGATATGAAACTTTAGAGGGAAAGATTTTTCTGAATGGTTCTTCAACATGAAAATACTCCAACGTAGCGCATATATTCACTAATCTGTACATATTGAAGCTATCTCAAATGTGTACCGTCTACACTTCTTTTTCTACACTTTTGACCTCTTTTTGTTACTGAATATACCACAGGAATTAAACGAATATATGACAGTTTTACAGTCTCACATACAACTATCCTACTTGCATATGTGATTTGAAGTTAGATATGTGTGTGATATTCGTTAATGAGATGAGTTTTTATTTTATATTGATATATTGTTCTACTTTTGGAACATATTATTTACTTTGATTGACCTGAATTTACAAGGCGGTTGTTGTCGATGAAGCAGAAGATGCTTTCCCTTCCTGAACATCTGGTCTTATTCTCTGCGCTCTTTTTCAATTGTCTCTATGTTTCTTCTGACATGTCCATGTGTTCTTTGTTCTTTTGGGAATCTATACATTGTAGTTGGAATTATTTATATACATGGCATAATGCATCTTCGCTTAGTAGGTGTTGTTAATCTTTATAATTAGCCATGCCAATTTCTAATTAAGATTATGATGATAAAACGACCAGGAACAACATTCATTTCCAATTATACTTGAGGATTTTCTGCATATTTTGATAATTCACGAACAACGTTTTGATAATTAAACTAGTCTCCTGTGTTCAATTAATGATTTGCGTTTTGTTACAGATAAGGCAGCAATAATTTTCATTTCTGTCCTATCATCCAGTCGATTATATAAATTGTCTTTTACACGAAAAGGACTTTAAATCATAAAATCTCGGTATCTTAGCTAAAAATATCGTAAGAGGAATCAGTATCATCAATCTTTGTGTCTTGTGTCCCTTCCGATAATTTTAATGGCCGTTTTAGTTTCTCATTACACGTTCCTATCATAATCGTTCAGATGCAAGAAATATGTCACTGGACCAAATGCATCTCTATCATTAAAACTCCCACTTCACAACATAATCATATTTTGAGAGTGCGTCATCTATAATCTATTGTTTATACGCCCTAGTTATCTAACGTTCGCAATTTGAGTAATTTTTCACAATTCAGCAACAATCAACCGATCGCCCTACTTAACATTCCTTTGTAGTTTGATTTCCTCTGTACATGTCATATGTTCCTGCACTTTTTGGCAAATATGACAACCAAACAGTAACCGCCTCTCCTCTTTTTATACGTCGCTGCATAAATGGCACAAATATATATTAGGTATTTACCACAATAGCACCAATTGCTTATATATCATCATTGTCCTTTCAAACAGGACAGTAACTAATTATTTAATTGCGTTTCTGACTATCGTGGCATCATTCTTTATTAGTATGACATGTTGGGGATTGCCCCTGACACAAATGACGCATAATTGTGACTTTCTCGTCATGCACAGAATGCATTTGCTATTTCGATTATGTTGCCCATGCCATAACATGTACACCATAAATCTTATAATATAATAATAATAGAAAGATTATTTAGATAAAAATTTCATTTGAAATTATTCAACCAGTTTATCAAATGTAGTTTTCCCTCTATTCCGTCTTCATGTAGACGTAACTTTGTACATGATCGATTATTCGAAATGTAATATGTTACATGACACGACATCCTTTTATGTCGAATTTTGCATGACTTTGTCTGGCATCTTCAATTTTCAATCTTGGATATTTCTTATTTGATAGTTTCTATCATGCTTCCTCCTGGAATAATTTTCTATGTTCTAGTTGATTTTTTATTAGAGAATAGTAATCTAATTAGTATTAAAATATAACGAAAATATTGGTTAATTGTAGCTTCGGATGCCTTTCAAGGTAGCCATCGGAAATTCATCTGACGCCATTTTATTTCATTGAATGATATGAGAAACATCAATGGCCATATGGTTACTGACTTGGTTCTCATTTACCAATCGGATTTCACTAAAAATCATAAACCATTCTTTCCCTTGCATAAACCTTTACCTCCGATTAGCTATTCATCCTGACATTTAATCAATATATAGATTATCGATTACGAGATCACGCTGATATAAGTTAAATACATTATAATCTATTACGGTTATTTTATATGCATTCTCATAAGCAATCAGCTTGATGTTGATTATATCTGAGAATAAGGTTATTCTATTGAATATAAATCCCAAGATGCAATTAATGATTTCCTATCTTTTGCATATATATATCCAAAGCAGACTTCACTTTAATTATTCATGTTTGTACGCAAAGGCATCGTAATAAACAAAACATCAAAAAGGCAATATTTCGTTATCGCTTTGGTCCTTATTACGAATCGTCAAATTACTTTTACAACACCAGCTGAAATAGACGTACATACATATTAAGGAAAATGAAATACATAATCAAGCTATTGATAAAAAGGCCTGGATACAGTATACTTGTCTGTGTAATGTGAATTATACATATGCGTTTTAAGACGACTTGAACCACTTAAAGGGAGATAAGCCTAGCCTTTCACAGAAAATGTTCGAGATTAATATTTTGTATTCTTTAAGGCATGTCCTATCTTACCTGTCTAAAATATTGTTATTATGGAAGAAAGGGTTTATAATGGCGTATGTGATATAC